TGTTAATAGCTGCCAGCTTTTGCCTTCATATCGCTTTATTCAAAGCAAACTTGTCAATATTCGTCATTGTCCGAACAAGCTACGCAAGCGTAGAGACCACATTTCGTATTGTGGTTCTCAAGAGCGTGGCCTCGGATTTCCCGTTCAGAATGAGCTCAGCCCCTTACGGTACTTTAACTAAATGTCAGATACCTGGAGGAACACGTCGGTCTTCTTCGGAGGTCTCTCGAACGCCTTGATTCCTTTTTGCCTGCGGATTCTCTATACCTAGGTGCGGCCTTATTTGGAATACTCTCTCCAGGCTCAATAACCCTAGCAAAACCAATATATTGCCACAGTTAAAACTGCCTAGCAAAGAGCCAGGAAACAATTTGAGGTGATCCGTTCCAAGTTTATGTGGGGAGCAGTTCCTGAGCCCTAAGCTACTACTGCTACTACTACTACTACTACTTTAATACTAATACAATATAATACTACTACTACTAATACTAGTACTAGTATTACAACTACTACTGCTACTACTACTACTACTACTACTATTACTACTAGCTACGGCAGCTACCGTTACCAGTACGCACTGAAGGTGGCGATTCAGTTGGAGACAAGGCAACTTTAATCGAATTGCTCAGTTGGTTGAACAAACCGACGTTTCAATTGTAAGGTATTTTTCCGGTTGCCTTGTCAGGTAAGGCTGTGGATACTAAAACTGTACAGCACTCAGTAACGACGCCCATGTGACAGCCCTACAACCATTTACCAGATTCTGATGTAGCAAAGTCACGTTCACTACCAACTTTCAAAAATTAATCAAAGCAAGAAAATAAAAGACCGCAAACCTAAGGTGGCACTGCAGGTTGTCCGCGTGATTGTTTTTAGAACAATATTTTTCTTTCTGCTTGCCCCCTGCTTGCGTCGCCTACGCCCCCCATTTGCTGTATTCATAAAGCCTCGACATTGTTCTGATCAATCTAAATGGCCAAATACAGCTTCCATACATCGAATGGTGATGTGACATGACAAACTGTGTGCTCATCGGCTTCCCCACATAATCAGAACGGGTTCCATTACGTATGACTTTGAGTGAACACTGTGATGAGTTCACCAAAACGTATTGTGTGTTGTCGCTATTCGTTCTTTTTCCATTTAGTGATTCCTGTCCTGTCCATCTAACGGAACTTGTCATGCATTTCCATTTAGCCATTATACACCATGGTAGCCACATGCTACTCTCGCTGCTCCAGTTCCTGAACTTTCCTCTACAAATAAATGCCTCCAGAGTTCTATCGAGCAGATAACGCAAACACTGATGTCTCGCTCCCCATACGTGATAACTGATTTGCCGGACTAGTCAAATTAAGGATGCCTTGATTACACTGTCTACATGTATGTGCCACTTTAACCAGTTCTTGTCAAGTTGAGGTCCCCAATTATTACAGTTCGTGTGCATTGGAGTGAATAAGTAGCAATTAGAGGGCTCTCACTATTCTTGCAACAATGGACGAATGGAGGAGAATGATACTTCGTGATTGTAAATACTGCATATTCGTACTCGGAAGTATTAAACTTTCTCGTTATTCCCGTCTGTTCCGAAGGATAAACTGAGGAAACACTTCTGTCCATAACTTCGGATGTTTTGGATACATGTCGCTCTTGGATACGTTTTAAATGTGACTAAGTTTTGCTCTAGACACTAAACTTTATTCAGACTTAGGGAGAAGGTGTATACTTGGCTTGGAATTTGTAGCAAATTAAGTCGATAAAAGCGTGGGGGTGATAGGCGACCGCGAATGGTTACTGGTGCAGTTCAAAAGATCAGGGGGTCAGTCAAGTGATCCAACAAGCATTGAAAGTTCCGCACTGCCCTGCGTTACGGGTTGTTTCCTTGTCAACTATCCTTGTTCTCGTCAGTGTTGTTACTGATGCAGATAGTTCGATGTTCACTTTTTTAAGGCTGACTCAAACTGCCGATGCTGCTGAGACTGTTCTGTTTAAGACAATGATCCACAAGCTTGATGGCCCCATGCCGTCCATCCTATTCACGCAGTTATTGCCCTTGAAGATTTCCACTGCCCCGGTAGCTAACGTTCAGCTGGTTTTTCGCATCCCTGTCTCAATAATGTGAACATAGTTCCAGTCGATTATGTGCCCCGTATCTAGTGCGCGTAACTCCAACGCCGAATCACTTAGTAGGGTTCTGTGTGTAGGTTTGTTCCGCCGAGGAGATAAAACGTACGTGCTGAGTTTTGACAACCTGGTGCGTAGCTCTCTCGATATTTCTCCTCTGTACACTTGTACGCAGTTTTGCAACTAATTTTATAGTGAATCCTTCAAACCGACCGATGTTGAGCGGAGGGTTTAACTAATTTCAAAGAACAAGCTTATTTTTTCTTTGTTTGGTACTCGTCTGATAGTTTCAGAAGTTCCATCCATATAAGGGATTCCCACCGTCCCAATCCACTCAGTCATACATAGTGCAGGCAGGTTAAGGCACTCTGCATCTGGTGATTCACTGACCGACTCAGATATCAACTATCTATTCATGTATTCACAGCTGCTTTCCGTGCGGCCTTTCTGTCCCCTTTCTCTGTACACATTCAGCCCTGTGAAATAGAGAGGATGTCTTAGCAGCATAGACGCACCTTGGATGATCTGTTATACGAAAGCCCTCCATCCACTCCTGTCTGTTTGTAATATACAGTTGTTTTTCAAGCGTCCTCCGTTCCTGTGAACTAGACAGTCAAGGAATGACAGTGCAGCACTGCAAGATACAGGTTCCACAGTAAAGTTTGTAGTCTAATCAATGAGTATATATAGTTCAGAAACACCCTCCTAATTATGCCGCTTTTATAATCAGGAAGTACCACCTACATAGAGCGAATAAAGCCCTGGTGAATTGCTGGAGTATATCAGTGACATCTTCTCAAATTTTCCAAATACAGAGTCGCAAATACGGAATATAATAGCAAACCTTTGATAGTATCCTGTTCCCGAACGTACAGTCAAGATTGGAACCACAGTTCCGTCTACTTGGGAATTTCTATATCACTGCCCATGAACCCGGTTAGGAATTTTGAGGATTTCTCCTTGGAGTTCTTTCTAAAGTTGAGAGACACCAGCGCTATCCATCCACTCTTGAGTTGATCATGTAGGAAATTGCGCAGGTCGATTTGCATTGAAGGTAAAATCTGTCAATGAATTTGCAGAAAAACACATTAGACATCGCCATGTTTAAGTCCGGCCGAGTTACAAACACTTCTGCCGGAGCACTCTCAGAACGCTACGTCGTTTGTCGCACCCGTATCCCCCGTAGAATGAAGGACATCGCCACAATGAACAGTCGATAGCTTAATGGCTTGGCGAGTAACAACGTCAATAGGCTATGAAGCAAAGGCGTATAGTGCATTTGTCTCTGAGATTTCTCATGATACGTAATCGCAGTCACATGTCTTAAAGAAATTCGCCAGTTTCATGCGTTAGAGGGTAACAGCCGTTTCCAGATTGCCTGTAGAATTTCGACTACATGTGTAAAAGAATTGGGCACGGCCAACAACCCTACCATTGACCGGAAAACAGTAATCATAAATCCTGACCAAGCTTTGTGCTTCCATTGGCTTGTTACTGAGGCTTCACCTTACACAAATTGATAAACATTCTGCCATGGACCACGAGTTAATTCATTTGCTTTCCCTCTGCTTTCTTTGGAAAGTGTTTCACACTCCACTAACTGTGCCGATTTACTTTTTTATCTGATACCCCATGCTGAAGTAGGCAAACAAAAGATAGTAGAAGTAAATGAATATTGAGTTGAGAGGAAATTAGGATTCATAAATCCCCCAGAAGTGACTTTGAACTTGGTTTGCGGTATTGCTCTCTTTCTATACCAATTCATTTATAGCCAACTAATCTTCGGCTTAGAAGTTAACCGGTGCTTATCTGAATGGTTGCATATTTAACGTTTCCATTCTGCCCGTAAAAGGTGTTTACGAATAGAAGCTTATTCTCCGAATTTATGATTATTATACAGAACATACAGCGCATCGGCATACTTTCGCCTTTTTCTAATCGGCATTCAAGACTGCTATATTTTTTGAGCTTTTGTCACTCCAGCATTTGCCTTTCCGCCTATTCCATCACGGGGGTGAGCAAAGTGCCGGAAAACCTAAAGCACAACTCATACTTGTTGTATCCCGGTATGCACTTTGGGAGATTGTTAGGAATGAGAGAACGCCTCTGTTATGAATGCGTAACGCCTGATAAGATTGTCACTGGCACGACTGGAGCACGCCTACGGTAACGGCTTAGAACGCTGGCCAATCGAACGGATTTGCGCCCACCTGTTGGCGTTAGCTTAGCCCAGGGCGAGACGGAAATTGAGTGTGAGAACGATCCTAGCCGTACGTATTCGGGTGGACGCTGATCTCTCGGAACGGACGCACACGACAGGGGGTTACGGTAGACGCGCGTTAGTGACAGAGGCGAACGCTGCCGGCTAACGACGCACACAAAATCACGTGACCCGACCGACTCCCAACTAACCGGGAAGAGGTATAGAGGCAAATGGTCCTCCGGAGGCACTTTCGCGACCAACATGGGGCGATGCACAGCCCATGCTGTGGGTCATTAAGTTAGGGAAAATTGCTATCACGACGGGGTGGTAGTTTGCCAAAGAACGTTGTCAACAGGTGCGCAGTTGGGCTGCGCCTCGGAGTGGTTGAACACTGCTACGTTGTGGGGAAGAATTGGACCCGGTTTTCCACAGCCACTAGGCCGGAGTTTCTGGGGCGTATTTGCGGGGATATTTGAGGCGCCCGCAACAGAGATATACCCACTTATTTATTTATTCTATGCAGTCCCAGAGACCACAAGCACTGGCAGCTGGCATGATCACCTAACTACGCATGACTTAACAGTGGTGGAGCATTCTGCCGTTATGGCAGTGCCATTGACTGACTGTTGCCACTATCGACAAGCATGCTTTGGGCAAATCGTCAACTTGACTACTACAAGGCTACGTAGAAAAGCGAGAAAAAGGATGAGAGCAATATCAACTGCTTTACGAACTTACTCTCCGCGGTTTCCCGTTCATCTTGAGCACAGCGTTGCTTCCCTTTGTCGACTGTGGTGACTCTAAAGGAAGAGCTGACACTGCTGCTTTGCTGCGTTGTAGTTTGAATTCCATTCCATGCATTACCATCCGGAGTTGTAGCATCCTCAGTGCTAGATGCTGTGTTTCTGACACTAACGGAGTGGCCGTAGTTCGCCTCGTCCTTGTCATCATTGGGGCTTGTTAAATCTGACGGTTCGGGTTCAGGAATAGTTCGAGAGAGGCATGTGTTTTGCTGACCGGATGTGGGTTTCTGCTGCGCTTTGTTTGGAGTCCTCTCAGTGAGCAACCAAACGGCAGTCTGTTGCACTACATTTTCAACCAGTGTAATCCTGTTTCCTGTCAGTGGGATAGTTGTAAACGCCTGTCTCTCTATTCCATCTGCATTACTTAGATGTGACTGATTTCTTAGCTTCTCTTTAGTGGCCGTTTCATTAACCTCCTTTTGCCTACTATCGGGGGAGAATTTTATCTGTCCTGATGGTTTCGAAACTCTTGAGACATCAGCAATCTCAAGTGAATCCGTAGGTTCCGTTAGAAAGGTCACTTCTGACTGGTGGGTAATTCCCATTCGATTACTCGAAAGCCTGAATGCCCTCTGCGATCTCTTACACTGCGAAGTACTATCAGAGAACAGTCTGCTGCTCTCAGACGTTGCATCGGAAAGTTCGACGGATATACATTCTTCGGTCATCGGTTGTTCCAAAAGCGAATCATCAGGTTGTTCAAAATCCCTTTTCAGAACATCCGCGAAGTTTTGCCGAGTGCCAGTATCCTCATCGATAATGACAAACTCTTGAGCACGTCCTTCGACAAAGTAAGTATCCATTTCTCCCTTACCCTGCAAAACACACATAGCCAAGTGACAGATGGGAGTCATCTTTTTCTTTAGGTTGATGATCAAAGTCATTTGGAAGGGATTGCAATAATACTCATCCCGTTTACTTTGGGAGTTTACAGTGGGAAACACACCACCCTCCGGTTGGTGGTAATTTACTAATGTTTGGAAATTCACACAGGGTTGCAGTCCTGCGATAGATTTTTGTTTTGTCAGCAGCACAGCGCACGTCCAGTAACTGAGGTTGGTTTAACACATCACATGTTTATTACGCTGCGACCCTATAAGGTACTCAGTCATTCGTGTCAGAAAGCCGTGCATAAAAAAGGCATAAAAGTAACTTTATCATCCATTTAGATAGTTGAGGCTGATGCATGGAGTGCCTGAGTTTTAAGTGCGAAGCGTCAAAATGAAACACTGAAGACGTCGGTACTGATAAGAGACCAACCACTTAGCTTAAATAGCATTGTGATTAGAAGGTTTATAATTGCACAGACTGCGCTGTATCTATACTGCAGTGAACTCAGTGACAATAGACCTGTGCTAACGGGACAGAAGATGCGGCAGCATAGTGAAGAGTTTCATCAAGTTTGTTTCTGGTCTAAAGTATGCGACGATGTCTTAGTAGAAGGTTGTTGTCACCAGATTTCATGTCTGGCGAACCGGCAAACTTAAATGAACATCCAAAGTTAAAGGTGGTCGTCCTACGCTACTCACAAAGAGTGTCTAGTTAGTCTAGGTGACGAACACTGACTTATGCCTCTCACACGATCAGTGTGCAGGGGAACCAACCAATCCCGAGCCGCATCACAAAACAGGGAAACACTTACACTTTCAGTGCACAGACAGTGCGAATCGCTTCCATTGACATTGGACGCAGTCATTCGTCGCAAACTGATCACCAAGTTTAGGTGGATTAAAGGGTTTTTAGTTTATGGTTTTCTGTGATTTCCCTGTTTAACTATCGTTTGTTACAGAGCAACCCTGAAAATGTTTTTCGAAGCAGAAAAAGCAAAATTCCTTTTGATGTTCCTGTATCGGCACTGGAAAACAAGTATGTGTTTAGCTACCGGAATAGAAAGCGTAGTGATGAAATAAAGCTGCGCTGCCTTACGTGTCGTGGAGCATGTCGCAAGGTTTCGCGGCACCACGTTCATGCATATACATAAGTGCACAGAAATGCTGGTTGTGAAGCTGAAAGTCGCAACTATTCGAATCATCTACCAACACAGTTGCAGGTTGCCTATGTGGTACATGCAGGGTTTCGTCGTTTTCGGTCCTGTGTTTCCTCACATTGGATTCATATTTACTCTGCAAAGGCCTTGTACCGTATGGTTGAGTATATGGCGCTCACACGTGAGATAATACGAAAATGATTATTTGCTTTTGGAGGTCACAAATGCGATGCCTAGGACAGCAGAGTATACAATCTTCTTGGCAGTGGTCGGAACAAATGCGATTTTACCAGAAAACGGAGTGCAGCACAACCAACCTCCTACGTTCGTGTAATGAGAAATTTCGCGAGAAATTTCACCAGTGATGTGAATGTCAAAAAGTCTAGCTGCGACCCAGCCTCCCGAAAAACACCGTAAACCCCATACTACCCGCTAATTGTGATCCGTAGTCTCTTAACAGGTCACACGGAACCTGGATTGGTGGCGGCTTAGAATGAGAGTCGTAGCTCTGGAGGCCAATCCTATCCTCTACACCGTCATAAAATGTATGACAGTGGAGACTAGCAGGGCTATATCGCAGTTGGATATCAGTTATATCCGTTCGCCGCTGCCATACATGGGTCAGTGATATAAGTCGCTGGCCCATAATAGTATGGTCATGAGGTCGAAACCGGCAGGATCCGGTGGGTGCGCACTACTCAGGAGTACCAATAAGATAAAACGGCCTTCTAGGCCTTCCCTGGAGGTGTGGTGGCTTTCTGGCACAGTCTATCTGCGACGAATCCTCTCAAAAATAACAGGAGTGTTGTCTGCCTCAGAATCAGTGCTTCCAACGCAAGTCTCCGGCTCATATCCTGCTAGGCTTATTCTACGTATGCGGTCAATGGGTGTCGACAGGTGTGTTGTAACGAAATGGTATCGACGGTCTACCACTAATTGCTCACCCCATATGTATGTGCACTGTTATATTTAAGGGCGTAACACAAATAACTAATACCACCATGTGTTACCAGGCGCAAGCAGCATACTCTAGCTTATTTCTAATCAGACAAAAAATGTACCGGTTGCAGCTGACATGCAGTCCATTTGATCCTATCTTCTGCCTGTGTGTGGCGTAGTGTTACAATTGTGATGTGGAACTTTTAACTGTAAGATACTGCCCAGCCCTACATGAAGTCAATGTACATGCTCCTACAATGTGACCGAAGGTGGTTCATCTGTTATCCTTTACAAAAACTATACGAATTGTAAGAGACAATGGAGATGAGGCAGATGCACATGCATTGCAAAGTTACGGGTGTGGGACACAAGAATTATATAGAAAAAGCAAACAGACCAATCACCTTGATGTCCATTTTCCCTCTGTAGTTGACAACGTATGGATAGGGAGCGAGCGTGTCAGCAAACGATCGGCTTATGTGGATTTTGTCCGGCTGCGAGTAAGGAGAAAACAGTGTATGGTAGAACGAAGGCCAATGAAAATAGAACCGTCAAGTTAAACAGTGTGGCACGCACATAAGTTGCCATGTTGTGTGTACAGCAGTACTATTAGCAGTAGTAGGTAGTAGTAGTAGTACTAGTACTAGTAGTAGTAGTGGTTCCAGTAGTAGTAGTATTAATAGTGGTAGTAGCAGTAGTAGTAGTAGTAGTAGCTGTTGTTGTTGTTGTTGTTGTTGTTGTTGTTGTAGTAATAGTAGTAGTAGTAGCAGCAGCATCAAGAACAACAACGACACTTGCCCCATTGCCAAACGTACGCAGTAACGTAAGTATGGAACTCAAAAGATTTCACTGGAAGGCGCTGATTTGCTACGACTACAAATATGATTTAAAGCAGCACAAGAGTTTTGGGTGATTGCTTGATGTGTACGTTGATGATGCGCCTTCAAGAACCATCGTGATTGAGTAGTTTGCAGAACCCAAGCGTTTCAGGCCGTCTATGCATGATGAGGCATGGTGTGGTCGACCTGTGGACAACAATGCTGCTGTGATAGTGATGCTGGAGGAGGATATGTGCATGACTGTGGGTCAGCTGGGAAAGCCATCGAGATCTCTTCGGGAACAATCCGCAACATCGTGCATGAAAACCGCCACCTCAGAAAGGTTTGCGCAAGCTGGGTACCCCATCAACTCAGTGTGGTACAGAAAGCAACTCCAGCAAGTTGGTGCTGCACCATGCTTGATAGGTTTGATGGCGGACACTCCAATGCTGCTTGGGAGATCCTCAGTGGTGATGAAACTTGGGTGCACAGTTTAGACCCAGAGAGAGACCAACAATCGGCTCAGTGAACGGCCGTCGCTGGGTCGCCGCCTTTGAAATTCCTGCTTGAGCGCATTGTGGTCAAGCTGATGGTGGCTGTGTTCCTGGCCATGGCTGATCATGTGGCTACCACACCACTCGTGCAGCAACGCACAGTCGCCAGAGACTGGTAGCCATCCACTGTCAGCCAAAAGTGCTGGAAGCTGTAGCCAGGGGTGGTCCGAGGATTCGAACACGAGGAACCTTGTTTTACGATGAGAATGCACTTGCGTACAGGTTCCAAGTCTTCGTAGATTTTCTGGCTAGAGCATACATCCAGGAGATTGGTCACCCACCCTGCCGTCCAGACCTGGCTCCGTGTCATTATGTTCCCAAATGTCAACGCAGGATACGGAGAATCCGCTGGGATTCTCCGGATGCTGCAACAGAGGCTTTGCTGTGCTGCTGAAAGGCTTATCCGCTTCGGTATGATCTAGCTGTTTCTCCAAAAGGTTTGAGCACATGGAACTGTGCATAAATGTTGGTAGCGAGTACTTGAAACAAACGTAATGCATAACTTTTGCAAAAATTAATACTTTTGTGCATCCGGAAACTTTTTGCTCTGCCCTCAGTCACTCTTTGATGAATGCTCACCATAGGCCTAGAAAGAGGGGGCGGGGGCGATCCTCCCCGGGCGACATTTTTAGTACCGTTGATTGAACGGTACCAAATGTAAGAGGTAAAATTTCCAGATAAGCTGACTTGAATAGTTTAACCTTACTCTGTATGACCAGCAACACTTTTGTTCCATATAGCAGATCTGTGCAAACGTTGTTTCCAGTGATCCTCATGCTTGACCCATATTGGTCGCTTTCACTACATTTTAACCTCAGTGTCACAAACGAGCATCCATTTCTTCGAAAACTAATGTGCACTTTATCCCGTGCTGATTGTGTGGCTTTCACGTGCCTATTCTGCCCTCTGAGTGGACGAAGATTTTTCAACTGTCCGGTTGCGGTAAAAATAGGTGCTACGCCGTTGACTCTCACCAATTTAAAGCATATGAATTGTAACATATGAACGAAGGGCATCGGCTACAGCCAAATGTAGCCAAACTGTGTGGGAACGAATGCGTTCATATGTGAACCATCACAGCAACGGGTGTGTAGCTTATTGATCCAGATGAATAGCCACCAGCATATTTAACAAATTGCTTAAAAAGGACTTACAGCTTTCGGTTGTCTCCTCCGACCTGACATTCCAAATTGATCGGCCGACGCGCTACCATGCACACACACAGTCCCCTACACCGTGTCGCTTGTTGCTATGCCCTCCGGTTTCTCTGGTAAATGTAGAGCATGAGAAGTGATGGCAAGTGATATACTACATCCACACCGGCGATTCTCCCAGCAGACTAGGTCATCCCCTGTTTATGCCAAATCGGTACCACCTAGACACATTTGCTGGCGGCTCCACATTGGGAGCCGCAATCATCCAATCCGGATGAGAACCACTTATCTTTGTAGCTTTCCACCGGATCGGCACTCAATGGATTGTGCTACATCATGTCATCCTGCAAACAATTAAGCATTGAGCATAGCGTTATTTTGAGGCATCAAAGGCGCTGTTATTATGCTGATAACAATGGCCCAGTGCATTTAACATGGGCACACTGGATTCGCCGATGAGTTTTTATTCCTGAGAAATGTGGAATCGTAAGCGAACAACGCCGACAGTGAACTCTCGAACAGGGATCTCACAGGTTATGTAACTGGTTTCCAATCTTCACATCCACATTTGATGCGTCGTGCAAAATATTCGATAACTTAGTACCTGACACATCGGTTATCCGCCAATTATGCCATGTATCCGGTATGCTCTAAAATGTCGTCAGGATGTCTTAATTAAGTTTCATGTACTCATATAGGCGTGCCTGACATGTGCATCAAAATCATTATGCATCTTGTCACTTCACACGAAGTGCGGTAAGTCCCGTATTGAGAACAATTCACTAGAGAATGCAATTCGCCTTCTTCTTAGTTCTACCGGGATTGTTACATCAGAGGTTACATTCCGCATGGGCTAGCAGGTGCAGTTTATCGGACAAGAGATTTCTACTCATTGGTATGCGACTAGATTGTGCACCCGGATAGATGTGTGCTTAATTAGAGATTTGTAATGAGTGCAGTGGAATAATGCTGCGTATTTAACCAGAGCGAACGGAGAAATAACCGTTGCCATCAGTGCAACTAATTTTGATTCCGATTCTGTACTTATCACTGAAGCCCACAATGCTTTTCACCGTATCTCAGCGGCCCCCGTGCATACTGGTCATGTAAGCTGCTAGTAAGCTTCTGTCTTATTTGTATTCTCATGTGCCGGATTATTACGTGTATGCGGTGAATGATTTGCTTGGTAGATCCGTGCTGGCCTAGTGATATGAGTAATGAAATCCCATTCGAACACAACTAATCAAAGAGACAATTAATGTGCTTGTTTTTAATGTGCGTAGACGATAGTTAAGACTTATGAAGAGCAAATTTTTATAACGCATTCATTAAATAGGCAAGCTCGTTGTTTCTTGGAGTGAATGGGGGATCGAACACTAGTCCAGGAGAGATTCGAACAGCTAGTATACGACCATCGTTGAACATTGTAATGCGCAAAACCCCATACCTAAATCCTTCTTTCGTGCACATACCATAGGGGCTTGTGCAGTCGACCTCCGCTTATCCTCCTACTGTCATCATTGTCTGCACAGTGGTAGTAAAGTTATGGGCTTCATCTTAAGTTTGATTGACGGGAACTTACCGATCCGTTGCTCATCATGCGACTTGCTGCGTTCACAGTGTCTCCGAAAAGACAGTACCGAGGCGTCTTGTATCCAACTACACCGGCCACAATCGGACCACTGTTACATCCTATGAACAACTGTAGTGGTTCCGACGAATACGGACATTCCTTCATCTCTTTTGCTCCGTCTGTCTTTAGAGGCCAGGATAGTTTATTCCGGGTGACGTCCAATATTTGCAACGCCATTTCAGTAATGTGGGCAGCATGCAATGCGGTGTGTTGAGGAGCTCCAGATACCAACATGTAACTATCACCAACTGTCTCAACCTGTGTTAACGGAACAGAGGTGGAAGACACAATGCAAACAGATGTAGACTTGAAGATTCAGTGCACAATATGCAAAAAATCACAAAGCAACTTTCATAACGGCCACCCATAAAGTGAAATGTACCGCGAAATACAACAGCAGCTAGGTACCACATGAAAACCAGTCAGTACACTTATGGATATACATATATATATATATATATATATATATATAATACCCCATGGTAAGCCTGATGTTGCATTAATGATGCTTCTTCACCGCAGTTGGGCTAAACCAACTTACACTTATACTGGGTCATTTTAATCTGGATAAAATTCATTTCACTTTATTTGGTTTGTTCTGCGCAATTGATAATCTTCTTCTAACTTGCACACGTCGCTCATGCAAATTGTGGTAAACTTGCGTAATTTTATCTCGTGCTATTTTTTAAATAACTTTCGGACATTTTGTACTTATTTCGGATTCACTTATAACCAATTTCTTCCATATGCTCATTTAGCGAGTATTTATGTCGTCATATGCCTTTAGTTTATTCGATGTTGGCATTTCGAATGGTTAGCTGTTGTTTGACATCCCACGTGTGGCTGCACTTGATGTGCATGTTGACAAGGTGCCTACCTGTCTATTACCCACTACCTCTTCCATCTGGCTCCAGGAGACAGTTGCTCGTTGCTGGAGGGGACGAGGTGCACAGTCCTTGTGGTGGTGCTAGGCTCGAAGAGTGGTTCCATGCACTCAGTGTGGAGCGGACTACGGTTCAGCCACCGCCTTGTGTGTACTTGATTCTCCAAATACAACGTGCTTGTGTTTGCCTGTGAAGGAGTGTGGGCCGGCTCCGTTGTTGAAACATGTCTCCAATCCGCGTGCCTCCTGGTCTTATTCTTTCGGGTTTACACTGGATATGGGGTGTGTGATGGAGCTGTGGGTGGTGCAACGCAAGCTATCCATGGTCCCTCTGTAGGCGCGGGCGTCATGTGGCTTGTCACAGTGACAGGCAAATCCGAAACCGGGTGCCGCCAACCATATATATATATATATATATATATATATATATATATATATATATATATATATATATATATATATATATATATATATATATATATATATATATATATATATATATATATCTGCATTCAGCTGTCTCAATCAAATGGCAGTGAGTTTAACGTGGGAGCTCCTGTTCTCATTCAACAAGACAGCACAATCAAATGTTAAAATTTCTAAATGAAGTTTCCTATTACCTTCTCAACTAACGTTCGTCGGGAGCTTTTAAAGAGCCTTACTCTGCTGGCATCTTTGGAGCAGATGCAGCCATTTTGTTTGGTCGCACTCGAAGTTGCGCAAAGGAACTACCTACACTAAACCTTCAAGCACATCACACATAAGCATCTTGACAAATCAGAGAGCATCACTATTCACTAGCCACAGTTCTGATTTAAATACTATGAGTCGCTCTCGTGAGGCCTTCGCTAGTAGCTAAGTTTGGCCTCTAATCAACCCGACCCTAAACAGTAAACAACCGTGCTCACCTTGTATACCTTGTGCAATTCTGTGAGCGAGTCATATAGCGTGTACATTTTGTTCAGTAATTCGATTGTCTGTTGAACATTAATTTCCATGCATTTGGTGCGAAAATTCACCACTTTAGTGAAGCAGATGCTCACGGCATCAAATGTCTGAAAGGCGAATGTGAAGAGGCAAGATTGAAAAAACAACCCGGATCAAATACCAAAGTTCGAAATAAAATCCCAGTATACTGTGATAGTCCTAAGCTATTTGTTGCGCCATCTGGGAATGAGTAACATTCTTCTGTCAAAACACTGTTAGGAAAACTTTTAGTGTTTAGTACTACTGGTTAGCCACCCACATGCCTGCAGTGGAAGCACAGCTTTTAGTTTGAGGTACGCTCAGCAGCTGTCATCCCTTCACTGAGTTTTTAGTTGCGGTCCATAAAATGCACGCACCTATTGCTAAAGTGCAAACCAAGTAGGTGAAAACTTTCATTAGAAATAGTGCACAGGCTTCTGCTCTATATTACAGTACACTACCCATTCGCTCTACGAATCTCCTCAGTTTTGTCCATCTCAAATCATGCATAAATTTCTCCCCCAGTTTAGGTAAAAGAGACGGCTTTTGTCACAAGGAACGAATGTTGATAGGAGAGTGACCATTTCGGTCTATTTGTGATCCATATTTGGTATTCTGGTGCCAAACAATAGAGTGTTTCAACAATCCTGCTTGCCAAGCGTATGTGGCAACCAGGTCTAATGAACACGAAAAGAATCAACTGTGGTCGCCGCGGAGCAGCCAAGTACTCTATGTTTTTCTTTCGGCCTGTTTACACACTGGGTTGGATACAGTTTGTTCGAACGCACCATAAACTGCGCCAAGAGAATAAGTTGGGCATCCAGGCCAGCATATTTCGTGGCGCATTTATCAGTGGAATGTTGCAACCATTATAAAACTAAAGATGCTTACTCTAATCCACACCTGCTTCCCAATGACTTATCTGACGTTATATTTGCCAATGTCACAAAGCCCAGTGTTACCCATTTCTTGACGGTTTATGAGGGCAATTGAAGCACTTTTTGCTCATGCGTAGAGAGTTCTATGCTGATGGTCGAACACCACAAAGCAATTTCTAGCACGAGACAGTTGGGTTGGATCTAGTCATCCTAATGAAGTAGGCGATGTGACCTGCCTAGATTAAGGTAAACGATCCTGCAACCTGGATCATCGGCATCAGCTTTAGACACCCAGTAGGAAGTTATGGGCAATCCATTAGTAATGTTGATACCAAATTCCCCATTCAAAAGAAACTAGTGATCTGAGTTCTGGACTCTCTGCCTGACAATATTTAGATCTAATTTGATGCACCACAGGGCTCACTATTGGGACAAGGATGCTTTTATTAATCCTTAATCACTCCGAGAAAATCATGTATGCTAACTTCTCGTATTTGTATCACATATAATTGAGCTGAACACTGTTTAACGACTGCACCAGCTGTTTTGGATAGGGTACATAGCGCGCCAGCGCAAAAGGTAAGACTTTTCAGAGTGGACAAATACTAAATTCTCCCTTCAAGACCTTAGAGTACATACTACTAACAAACACAGTTGGCGTGTACTGTCAGACCCGCCTGTCGAACTTAGCTCTGTAATAGTTGTTCCGGTTGTCTCGGGTTTCACCAGCAAGTTCAAGGAAGCATCGAACCTTGACAAGGAAAGTAAGGGCTCTTAGGAATATCATCGGAATAAATAGACTTCTCCAAATTTTGCTCAATCGTTAAGTGCCTACAATGGACCGCTTGTAGAATACCTTGGGCCTTCTACTCATGATAGAAACAGTATCCCAATGTCCTGAATTTAGCACGGCATCGAGCCCCTGAGTGCCTCAGTAAAAATATAGTCCCGCATATGAGCAGAAGTTGGTCTTCGTTTGGGTTTTATAAAGAGAATTTCTCTGCTTAGTAGGCAGCCTTATGGTAGCTCATCTGACACAAAACCTTTCTAACCATGTGTATTGATCTTTACTGGGGCACATCAGTGGCGCAAAACTAAGATCCCACTATCTGAGATTTACAAAACAATGCAGTTGCTCGGAATGGCACAGATATTGCTTGTTTAACAGTCTATTATGTGGCTTTACAAGCCACATTTAATAGATAGTTAGAAGAAGCATCCAGCCGTCTACATTTCGCCATATAGAACCAAGCTTTAAATCGATTTCCAGACCAAACGCTTTGAGTTTACTAGCCAGAGACACATGCGGTATTTTTACCGGATTTAAAAGTACCTGCGATGCAACATGGATTTAAATAATATGAAATTTTTCATTAAATACCTAGCCAGCTGAATTTGGCAATTTAATGAATTGCTTCTGCCGAAATTCTGATGATTGCACGGAGCCAGCCAAATCATGATCAGAGTGCTTCCTCTCCGAGAAGAACATCATTTTGACGGAATTTTACCTGTATGGTTTCCATAGCCGGCGTCCCGTTGCGAAGCTTCACGGCCACTCCCTTTGGGATGCACTGGTACAACAATTCGTCCGCGAGTTTACGTATTTTATCCATTCGCCTCATGCTCTTTTCTAGTTGTTTACACTCATCCATTTGCTATAAGGGCAAAACAAGGCAGACGGTGAATAGGTTCAATAGGTTAACTATCATCATTTGTTCAGTTGTCATGTTGAACAGTTGAGATTGTCCAATTATTATTATGTCGTTCGCTTTAAATGATAGCACTGGGATCTAGTGAGAGATATGTTGAAATTTGCATTTGGTGTACCTGCTGTGTGGTTGGGTTGCAACTCCCAAGCTCTATTCAGATCTCTGTCCTATTTGAAGTAGACATCTGTCATTACGATCACAAGGACCGTACCCGAATTGGAGGTTCGGTGTTGTTCCTCACAACGCTGACATCCCATAACCGGTTTTGTCCTCGTTTGAACTCAGCAGATGGAGATAATCTGAGATGAGGTGAGCCTTGAGGCCTAGTGTTTAAAGGTTGACGCCTTGACCACTATGACTCTAAGATCCGTGACCAACGCTTGGCACGGCCGTAAGAAATTCCAGGTGGCATTTAGTGTACCAGCTGTGTGGTTGGATTGTGACTCGCAATCTCTATTCATGTCTCGCTCCTCTTTGAGACAGACTTCGGTCATTACCATCTCAAAGACCGTATCCGAATAGGTGGTTCAATGTAGCTCCTCCCAAAACTGACACCCGATAATCGATTTCTGCCTCGGTTGGACTCCTCAGATGGAGCTTGACTGAGCTGAGGGGGATCTGATCAGTCCAAATGAGGACGAAACCGGTTAGGAGTGTCAGTATTGGGAGGATAAACATTAAACCATCAATTCGGATACGGTCCTTGTGACCGTAATAACCGAGGTCTACTTTACAAAGGACCGTGGTCGGAATGGAGAGTGTGAGTCGCAAAACAACCACACAGCGGGTACACAAAATGCAACTTCGAATTCCTTATCGCTGTGCCAAGCGCCGGTCACCAGTCTTAGAGCCACAGTGGTTAAGCGTCGAACTTTCACCACCAGGGCTCAAGGTTTAACCCAGCTAAGGCGATCCCCGTCCGCTGAGTACAAAGAAGGACGAAACCGGTTGTGAGGTGTCAGGTTTCGGAGGAGCAACAACAAGCCAACAATCAGAGATTGTTTGTTCAAAAAAATGCGCGTTGTTAGTGTGAAAAGTTAGTGTTAGCTCAAGCAGAGCCGCTGAGCCTCGGTCGCTCATGAGCATGACGTGCACCACACGCTGAGTCTCACTTCGGAAATTGTTGCGGGCACGTCAAATATTCCCGCAAAAACACGCCAGAAACCCCGGCAGAATGGCTGTGGAAACCGAGGTCCAATTCCTCCCCACAACGCAGCAGAGCTCAGCCACTCCGAGACGCGCTCCAACTGCGCACTTTTCGACAATGCTCATTTGCAAGCTACCACCTCTGCGTGGTGACTGTTTTTCCTTACTTAATAACCCATAGCACTGGCTGTGATCGCCCTTTGTTAGTCGTAAAAGAGCCTATGGAGGACCACTTGCCTTTTCTTTCTCTTCGCCTCAGTTGGGAGTCGGTCGGGTCACGTGATTACGTGAGTCGTTAGCTGGCCAGCCTTCGCGTCTAAGTCATTAGCGCGCGTCTATCGTAACCCCTCTCGTTCCGAGGGCTCAGCGTCTATCCGAACAAGTGCGGCTAGGATCGTTCACACGCTCGCTCAATTTTCCGTCTCACCGACTAAGCTAGCGTCGTCAGGTCAGCGCAACTCCGTTCGATTGGCCAGCGTTACAAGTCGTCATCGTAGGCGTGCTCTAACTGTGCCAGCGGCAATCTTATCAGGCAATTACGCAATCGTATCAAGGGGCGGCGTCCCCTCAATCATAACTAAAATTAACGTAAGTTTCTCCCTTTGCTTGGGTTTGCACAAAACGGTGCCGCATGTATCGCCAAGTTTGAACCCGGATTTTGAATGGTGTTGTTTGTCTTCTTGTTTATCGTATACCTAGTTCTAACAGACAAGCGCAACCCGCCGGGATCGTGTCGCAGTTCAGCAATCTCTGCATGGACTGTGTAAATCAGTGTGAACCGTCACTCGAGACCAGGACAATTCGGAAATAGACTGGTAAGCTTAGTGCACCAGATTATTTTATTTACTTAGGCTTAGTGTAGAGTATCCAGCCGTCTGCACCTAACTCTAGCACAACAGTAACTACCGGTGCTTCCGTCAGCATTTCTCTACAATCGCAAACCTTCTGTGCTCTACAATGGGGGCGTGGTTACCTGAAATGCCATCGCAAGTGGATAGCGTCAAGTGCCACGAAGTCACCTGCATGAGTGAAATGCGCAAACGGGGTTGCGCGTTGAGGATGTGCGGAGTTAGAGGTATTCTAATGGCTGCCAGCTGTCTCGGAGGTCGCAAAATGACTGTCGTACACCCAACATTGTCTTTTAGTTTACACCGAACTCAACCAGTGGATAACTGTCCGGGAGATTTTAAACCGAATTCTGGGAAGGACTTATACAAGAAATGCTCCGTTTGTCTCATCTTTTGATCACACCTATCAATCCTTGGAATTTTTCTATCTAAATGGCATGTACACCATGCATTAATGACCGCAGCTAGTCACCAAATTAAACTAAGCCTCTTAGAACCGCACTATTAGGCATCATAAAATACGGTTTATAAGCTAGAATAAGCCGAGGTTATGTTGGAACAGTGGTGTCCCATTACCCATCGTTTCAGGTAGCCATGTTGGCGAACCCACGCCATTTGCTTTGTTACTCTATCTTCATCCACTCCTATCATTGATTAGACTGGAGGTGCTGTTGCTTCTGATTTGCTGCCTCGCTTGTACCTACAGGCAACACCGCCTTAGGTGTTACAGTCGTTGTCCTGTGTTCTTATTGTGTCCACACAATCCATCGATTCTGGCTCCGGTTTTCTGACTTCAGAAAAGAAGAAATTAGTTTTTAGTGATCTAGCTGGAGAAAAAGCGGAGTTTTTACACAAATACCACCGATCGTTCGGAACAAGGAGTGGTGAAAAATTTAAAGATCGGAAAGATTTAAACAAACGCCTGAACTATCCAATGACTCCCTATAACATCGGCTAGCGATGACGTGGCCTATGTCAAAAAACTCTTCCTTAGCCTGAAAACAGCATAAGTCCCAGTTAGTAACTTAACTTGAGGACTGCGTGTCTCTTCGCTAGAAATAAAGCGATGGCAGTTTGAGCTTGATGTCTGCATGCTCATTTGAGGGTATATGCGGTGACCTGCTCGTCAGTTTGCATGTGCTGATTGCAAGAGCAATTAAGCTTTATTCTGGCTAACGCACTACCCGTTAGGAACTGTGCGTTGCAGTGATTTGAGGCCGATGGATTTTTGGCCAAATGTGTGTGTGTTATCTGATTGCAAAAAGAATAGTTGTAGTGCGTGTGTATCAGCCTCGCAATGTCGATCTAGCCATATCCCCCTGCTAATTCATTGTGCGCGCAAAACGCGCTATCAGACTTTGGACGTGGCAGTTACATTTGCACAAAACCGGCCAGTAAGCGATATCAAGCACTGCTTGTCGACTGCAAACTGCGGATAATAGGGATGAGAAAGTAGCATAACTTTGCTTAGAATTCTGACAAACTCTGAAACATACTGAGGATGACTTGGAGAACATTACCATGCTACGTTTTACGTAATTCATACTGGACATGCTTTCGTAATTAATCTACCCAAGTAGGTTTAATCACGAATAAATTGTCTTCGCACCAATTTTATAATAGTCGGCTGTCCCGGCAGCCAACATGCATAGTTCCTCCAGATCAACAAAATGCTTTGATAGTGCACATACCTTTTTGAACAAGTTCATCAGTTCCTCTGACTGCTGCTCGCCGGCGAGAACAATGTCTGTGCTCCGATCGAACATGTTCAGATCATTGACATAGAGTCCGCAGTCCTCCATCTGTTGAATGTTCCTCAGTCTGAAGGAAGACAGGCGAATTTTAGAAAGGGCTAGTGATGTGTTAAGCCAATAGTTTTGATTCATTATTTAATCCCTTCCTTTTGGTAGTAATAAAAAAGACAAATTTGGATGTAGATCCTCGCAGTCACTTCTCATCGAAGCAGGCTCCCGCACATCTGGAAAAGCACCAGATGGACGTTTCGAACTTCTGGTTTTTCCCGGTATTGCCAGTCCCTCGGACCTCTGCCGGGTTGCGACCCCATGGTATCCGAATACCAGAAGCTTGTACCGCTAAACCATGGGTGAAGATGGCTTAGTGACACGAGCAGGGGTCCAAAGAACGCGCCTTACTGCCGAGAACCAGATGATTAAAACGGCAGTCTGGTGTTTTTCCAAACGAACGAGAGCCTGTTTGGCTGAGAGGTGAATACGATGAAACACCTCTACATTATACCTATATACCCACTACACATGAGAAAAGACAAATTCACCATGAGGCTATTTCTCAGTGTTTGGTTTGTGTCCCTGCTAGTCTTTGAAGTAGACGCAGTGGATGTGCTTTAGTTAACTTGGAATAATCAATCGAATTGCAACAGTTGCATCTTTTCTTTCAATGGGCAGCTAATATGTGTCTAGTAATCCGCGACTAGTTAGAACTCAGGGCTTGGTCGATCGATCTGCTGAGTTCCACTGCTGCGTATCGTCCCATGTAAGTGGTGTGCGATTAGCCATCGTAAGTTATCAAAACCTGTGGATTTCGTCTCCAAAACCTGGCTATAAATGTGCCTCCGGAGCCTGCGTGATATGCAAGTGAGACTATTTCATAGGACATGAGTTAGAAGATAAAAGCTAACTACTGAACCATGAAACAATGAATGAATCTATCACGAGTAGTGACGCAAATTCCCAAATGTCGTGTTGTTAAATGCGAGCAAACAGTATCTGCATCAAGAAAGAGGAATTGAACAGTTAAAAGAAGCAAAAGAAGTGCGTCTGGCTATTGTGTCATAGGAGGAGAGTATACGTAATGGCATATGGATCTGAATCAATCGAGGCTATCAACTGAAGGCGTCCTCTGCATCCACGGGAGTCCTGTAAATATGTGCAATCTTGTTGGTAGGTAAGTTTGAAAACGGATGAACCGGCTACATTTGAATCGGCAGTTCTGTGGGTAATTCAGAAACAGTTCATTGTTAACAACTCTCAAAGCCAAATCCTAGGTGGGTTTAAAACATCTATTGAAGGTACTCACTTTCATGCAACATAACAACTAGGGAGTGCTTGCTTTTCTTATTAGGCTGTCACTACACTACCGCAGTACAATAACTAACAAACCGATTCTGAAACAATGGTAAATTTCATGTGCGAAAATGCTGTCAACGGGATAGCAATCAATGTGCAACGTACACTGGGGTGCCCAAAAAGAGAATCATGTCCCACTCATCTGCGAAACACATCTGTCCTTTGAATTTGCAGGCGGCTTGTGAAAGTGAGATCGCGCGCTTGGAGTGACCTGGGAGAAACACGTAAGGGAGGTCACTTCGGTGAGCTGGAGGGAAAATGAGATGGGCTACACAGCAACTATGTAAAGTATGGTGCCTCATGATGAGGTTGCTGTTGCATACATCATATTTCTTCACCGCAGTCATGGAAAACAATCACCCCATGAGACGGCAAGCTTGAAGCTACGTAAGCCGCCGAGACACGCAGTAGACGAGTGCGCCTGTTTGAGCAGCTTTTGCATCGGTTTCCGGCCCACCTGCACGACGTGAAACATTGTCTTTGTACCTAACTAAACATTCATGTTTCCAGCTAAAATTCCGCCACATGTGGATTGCAGTTTTTATCAAAGAAACACTCATTTCCCCTTCGGCCACCGCCTCCACCAACTTTACTCTCAACATGTTCCTTTGGCAAATGTACATGGTGCGAATTCACTTGCTTTCTCCCAGGATTTGCTCACTCAAATCCCTCTACAATCGCGGCATCTAAAAAAAACTGGACTGCGCTATAATCGCCTTGGCCTGGCTAGTAAAAGTGTCTAGGGTGAAAGACCTGTCTTTGTTCTTACTCTTATCTGGGTTGGATAGTCGCTTGTGAAGTCTACGATCGATTAGAAACCCGTTCAAAGTGCGTGTAGAACTGTGTTACGTCAAAGTCTCCGGGTGTGGTGACAATGTTGCCACCGGATACCGAAGTCCGTAGCTTGTCTCGTCCAGTTGGTCGTGGACAGTTTTGTCGCACCAACGCAGGCGAATTCGATATGGTGATCGGGGAGCACATGCACAGCCGAATGGACATACTTAGCATGAGACAATGGTTGAGCAATAGGACGCGTTGACACATGGCCTGACCACTGAAATATGCAGGCCTGATCGCAGTGAGCATGGGGTGATCGTAGGCCAGGCAACGGAACGCGGCCGATAGTGCATTGTTTAACATCGCTCATCGTGATACATATATTTACAGATCATCAATGTAATGCTCAGATTTGTCAGCGAAGTTGATGTTCAAGGCATCCATCGGCGTTTTGTTTACAGTGCAGCATTTGCTTGATGGGGTTTGCCAACAATTCCTCCAAAGTACCAACTGTGAACCCGCGACATTCGTGCAAAATGCTCTGCCTCAATTGCTCAAGAGAGTTTGACTTCTTTTGTAAATCCGCTGTTTTTAGTAGCCACAGAGGAAAAAATGTAATGGGTTCAAATCTGGTGACCGAGCAGACCACTCTATAGGTCCTCCCCGCCCGATCAAACGGCAAGGGAAAGTCTGCTTGAGAAAATCTCGCACGGTTTGTGCGTAGTGTGCAGGTGCGCCACCTTGTTGAAACCAAACGGTACTTAATGACCCAGCGGCTTCCAGGTCCGGAATGATACAATTTTTCAGTAATTCCTTGTACGAGGTTGCTAGAAAGCCTAAGGCATTAATACTGCTAAACAATAACCTACCGGTTACATTACTGGAAAGCAAACTGGTCCCACGATTCTTTGGCCAATTAACACAGCCCATACCTTGAGCTTTGCGCCTTGTTGTATACGTGAAGCGCTGCATCGGCGTGGATTACACGTTGCCCAAAACTGTCGCTTCTCCGCACTGTGCAAAGGGAAAACAGCCTTATCGGTAAAAAGAATTGTATGGATGTCCATGGCACTCAAAAACCTGCGGCAAAATTGAAGCCGCTTCCCCGAATCACATTGGTTTAAAACCTGCACTTGACTTGCGCTTTACTTCCGGAATTCCCTTTCCTTTAAAATCCTATGGACAGCATATCTGGTGGTGTCGCGATGCTGGGCGAGTTTACGAATGCTCAGATCGCAGCTTCTGGACACCTCACGAATAACCACACAAGTAGAAAAGTCATCCGTGGTGATGCGAGGCCGCCCTGTCTTTTCGGCGTCGCACACGCTCCTAGTTTTCTCAAATTCTCTCATCAGCCTACGAACATACTGTCCGTTGAGGGGCCACTTGGCACTGTGGATGGTGGCAAATACTTTTGCCGCTCGAGGGGGTGGTAACATTATCACTCTTACTGTGGGCAGCACAGGCGCGTGTAGGCCAAAGGATCAGTAAAGAGAACACTAGTTTTCGATGCAAACTAATATGCAATTGGGAACCTGAGGTGAATGTGTTGAAAGTGACCACTATGGAACAAATAAGAGGATCACTCGGAACAACATTCGCACAAGTGTGAAATATGGCTCAAAAGTGTCGATGATTATACAGAGTAACCTTAAAATATTCAACCCACAGCTTATCTGGGTAATTTGTCCTTTATATTTGGTATCAAACAAACGACGCTAATAAAAATGCGGTCCCGTGTAACGTGCCGCAAGCAAGCTGTCTCGCCGATGCCGCCTGATGTTTGCACGATAGCCAGCTGTTTGTGACGGTAGGTTGTCTACACAAGGTATAGGCGCCTTAGCCCTGAATGTTTGCTTAGGGCATTAAGGTTTTCAGGTAAGTCCCCCCTTCTCTCTCTGTTCTTATTCTTTATTTCATCATCATCATCATCATCATCAGCAGCAGCAGCAGCAGCATCATCATCATCATCATCGTCATCCTCATCACCGTCACCATCATCATCATCAACAGGAGTACACCAGCCAGTTGAACTGATGCTTCGCTGCCATACAACCATAAGGACCTATGAAATAAAGAACAAGAAGAGGGAGAGAAGGGTGACTTACCTGAAAACCTTAATGCCCTAAGCAAACATTCAGAGTCAAGGCGCCTACACCTTGTGTAGACAACATACCGTCACAAACAGCTGGCTATCGTGCTAACATAAGGCGGCATCAGCGAGACAGCTTCCTTGCGGCTTTCACTGCCACGCGTCATAATCAGCCATTACCCAGCAGATAACTCAGCACCAAACACACTTTAAACAGGTAACCCAATTAGGAGACGGCAGCAGACGCGCCACTGGTGTCGGTTGCGAGCCATGGCCTGTAACGTCTCGAGCCAAGCACAAGGCGAGTCACGTGGACTCCAGCCCGGAAGGCGAGACGGACCAACGGCACCCAGTTTGGTCATCAGTGACTTCATTTCCCGCTGCCAAGTCAACTTCTGTCCACCTTGAGCCTTGCGCCACCCTACACCTGGCATACTAAACAAGGCCCTCCTAGGTAAGCGGTGACCAGGCATACGGAGCACGTGCCCGAGCCAACGCAACTTATTCAGTGCTATCTGTTGTTCTAGGGAGCTAGCATGATAATCACCACCTGGTACTTGCCTACGCACATCATCGTTGCGGACACGCTGGTGCCATCCGACACCAGCAATGCTTCGCAGACAACGATGATCAAAGACTTGAAGGCGCCTCAGATCTTCAGACCGAAGGGGCCAAGTCTCATTCCTATAGAGCAGAACAGCCCTCACTGTGGCCTTGTATATCCGGCCTTTCAGACGGAGGGAAACTCCCTTCTGTCGCCAAAGATGCCGCAGGTTCAAGGAGGCAGCTCTGGCTTTTGCAGTGCCTGAGTTGACGGCAGTTTCTATGCGCCCATCATTGCTGATATAGCTGCCAAGATAAGTGAAATGATCAACCACCTCGAGTGCCTCGTTAGCAAGCGTCAAAGGGTCATCAAGTGGCTGGTGGTCCTGCAGCAACACTTTGCACTTTGAAGGTGCGAAGTGCATACCAAATAATGGGACCATTCTAGACAGGCTGTTCAGGGTTGATTTTGCCGCCCCATCATCGTCGAAAAGCAAGACGATATCGTCCGCATAATCTAGATCAACTAATCCTTCACCAGGCAGCACTTCAACGCCTACATCGTGAGATTCCGCAAGGGAACACTCCATGATACAATCCACGACGAAATTGAACAAAAACGGGGAAATCGGACAACCCTGACGAACGCCACTTGTAGACGAAAAGCTATCCGAGAGGATACCGTAGACTCTGACGCGGCCTGCAGTGTTCGAGTCTAGAGCACGAAGGATGTTCACATATTTCGTGGGAACACCTTTCCGCGCAAGTATTTCGAACAGAATCGATCGATCGACTGAATCGAACGCACTCTTGAAATCGAGGAACACAGCTATTGTTGATCTGCGGTATGCGTGGCGCTGCTCTAGAACCTGCCGCAAAGTGAATATATATTCTATACAGCCACGCCCTGGGCGGAAACCGGCCTGCTATTCCCTAATCCGAGATTCCCGTTCTGCAGTGAGGCGACGAACGATAATCGAGGTCAATAGTGTTGTCACAACTGGAGTTAGGCTAATACCCCTGTGGTTAGAACATTCTGTGCGATGGCCTTTCTTGTATATTGCCACTATAATCGATTCGCTCCAATTAGCCGGGACACTCTCTTCCTTCCAGATACGTTCGAATAAGGAGGTCAGTGCCCTGCAAAGGACCTCACCTCCATCCTTAAATAGTGCAGGTGGGAGGGAATCCGGGCCGGCGGCACGAAAACGATTAATGGATGTGATCGCGTTTCGAACCTCGGCCTCCGACGGAGGCTCTAAACTAACCGTCCACGGCTCGTCCTGCATCACCTGAGTAGGAAGAGGTCCGGGAGCAGGAGGCCAGCTGAACTGATCTTGAAAGTGTTCCGCCCAACGGGCCACACGGCGCTCCTTATTGTGTATCAGCGCACCCGCGCTGTCTCTGATTGTCTCACTGACGGCTGGTTTTCTGGGACCAGTGTTGCGGATTAGCTGGAAGAGCTTGCGGTAATTGCCTACTGCTCTTGCCTCCTCCATTTCTTGAGCCCTACTGATTCACCAGGCTTCCTTGTCAACATGTAGGCTCTGCTTTATTCACGCTTGTTAGCCCGTCTGGTCACATTGTGTTCAGAGCCAGCCGGGAGGTGTTTTCTAGATTCCAACAGGTTCACCGACCTCGCGGATATCCAGTGACTGGTGCGATGAAAATGGATAGTGCCACAAGCAGATGTTCCTTTGTCATGCATGGCAGCCGAGATCCTATTCCACTGAAGCTCAGTGTCATTAGGACAAGACAACGGAAGTGCAGTATGCAATGCTTCTTGATAGGCTTGCTTA